ATCTGTGAGGTTTTGGGGGCAGGACCTCATCCTCTGTTTTTAACCCAAAGCTTCTAGGCACTGTTGTAATAAATATATATGTACATACATACATATATACTTATATATAAACATGATAAAAGTCTGGACAAGTCTGTGTTGCATAACCAGAGCATGGTGCAGAAATGGCTGAGCCAGTGCTGACCCAACATGGCGAATTGCCACAGCCCAAACAGCCACCTCTGAGCTGCTCCTGTGTGAGCTGGCTGGCCTGGAGGCCATAGAAATTCAAGAGATGAGTTCCTTTGCTCCAGTGCAACTCCAGATACTGATGGCTTTACCAGAGGTAACTGGAGTAGAACAAACCGGGCTGTGGTGTAGGTATTCTTGCGGACCTTGCATGAATGCTACATGCAGAAGAGTAAGGAGCAGGAGAGGGGTCACAGTAAGATCCACTGACCTGTAGTGCTTTACCATAATAGAAAACATAGTGCAGTGATACTTTAAATAGCATCAGTCTGTCTGCACGTAGCCTTGAACGGTTCAGGTTGGTATGAACCTAATCTCATGAGACCTAAGCGGCAAATTATCATCTGCAGAAACCATCCTTGATGACTGCAAATTATGGGAAGCCTTGTATTTTGATAGACCAATGAAGTGTTCAGTCATCAGGCGATCTAGAAAACTGGGTCAAATAGGTGTTGCATCATAGCAGACAGAGGATTTGGTATTAATCAAGAAGGCACATAGTGAAGTATGTATCATAGGTATTTGATTACATTGGTGGAGTTATCTTTAATCATTGGGTAGAGTCATATGATGGAACATGATCGAGTCACCATGGCTTAGGGGGGTACTGCCCATCTGCTTAAATGTTAGTGACGATGACTCACAGTATTAGCACGACCATGCAGAAGGAGGGGAGCCAATGTGGTCAGTTACTGCAGCTTGGCTAACATGTGGTATTTACTAAGCTGCCGTAACACTATCCATACAGGCCACGTACAACTAAAGAGGTAGTGTACAAATGCTGACTGAGACCCCATCGTGTCCCGCAGCAGGCTCCTGCAGGAACACAATGAAAATTCTTAAAGACGAGAAAAACCCCATGGATGGCCAGATTTTCAGTGGGGTTGAACACTTGCCAGTTCTCTGTCTTATCTGTCCTTAATTTGTGGGCTGTTTGCCAAACAACCCTATTTATTTAACAACGCAGGTGCCAAGGAATTAAAATCCCTCAGTCAGCAATATTGAGTGACAGGCTGCAGACAGCACCTTTACTAAGAGAGGAGCAGAGTCAGTGTCCAACATGAAAAACAACAATTATAAACTCTGACTGACTTTTTTTGCTGCAGGATAGAAAGCAACAACAAAAGAGATTGTGCTGTCCTTGGAAGGAGAAGAAATGTCCTAGGCAAATTGAGTATCTCAGCCTGTACAGTTCTGTGCCATACACGTTCCCTGAGCTCTGTGTGAGTGCACATGAGCACGTGCTGGTCCATGACCTGTACTCATTGTGGAAGCAATGAAAGTATCCATGAGTACTGCCCAATATCAGCTTCCCTGATGGAGAGTGGAGTCTGGTCTGCATTATGTAGCACTTTCATTGGTGGCAGGAGCAGTGCAGACTTTTTGAAAAAGAGGGTCAACCTTGAAGCACAAGGTTTCTCTGACTGTTCTGCTGCTCTTTGCAAAAACACACTTGGGGACAGACAAGCAGGAGTGTAGCTAGAAAAAATACCTGAAGTACTGAGGATCTTTTTTCCTCTAGCTAAGCATGAAGCTTATGCAGACCCCCAAAGTGAAACAGCATTAAAGGTGAAACTGGGGACAGCAAGGAAGCTTCTTTGCCATTTTAATAAATACCAATAATTCCCTTTTGCCCAAGTCCCATATTCCCAAACTCATTAAAGCAATTTTGGAAATGTTTTTGGCTCTTGAACATATAAGCCAAACTCAAACCATGCAGTCCCTTGAGAACCACTTGCGCAAATTGCATAGGTCAGGCCAAAATAAGTTTCTGTCAAACAGCCTAACACCTAAGCTTATTATGAAACTGATGAATTGTACAAAGGGTCTGTATGTGGGGCAGTCTCAGAATGACTAAATGGGGGAGGCTGTTGTCATGGTACTTGTTTTACTTTGGTCCCACTGAAAACTCAAGTGATATTTTTATTGAATGCTTTGCTCCTGTTAGCCGGCACGGTTCCCATAGGCTGTGTGTGTCAGCTGGTGGACCCAGAGGGCTCCAGAGCTCCAGTGGGTGGGTGGGTGCACACTTCAGTCTCATCCCAGGACAGGTGTGAGAATGCTTTTTCCTCCCCTGCCCTTCCCTCCCTACCTGCTCTCCTAGGTGGAAACACTAGTGGAACCCCAGCCAGAGCTGCACTACACCTTGTTCTGTTCCTCAGGCCCTGCAGCATGAGGTTCTTAGCCCTTTGATCTGGTGACCATGGCACAGACTTGAAGGCAAAAGATAGAGAAGGCCTGTTTGAGCATGTTGTCTGCTGCTCTGCAGGGCTGTGAGGATGGCTGAGTGGGAAGTGGACTCTGCTTGTGCGGGGTCCAGCCCCTGAAAACCAAACTGAGATGGTTCTCCTCACATTCTGCCTGGTATTGCCCCATTTTTTTATTTTCAAAGGATCATTGAATGTGCTTTGTTTATGCTGTCCTAATGATTCATCAGTCCTCTTGTGTGAATGAATGCTGGTACATGGAGCATCTGTGTTTTAAATAGACAGTAGGATGGGTCAGGGGCTGGGTGCTTTATATTTTCTGAGCTCATTTTTCCTGCGCTACATCCATTCCACTTATACCACCTCCACAGCTCTCCAGGCATAGCCTTGTGCTGAGCTCACCATCAAGTTCCCTATTCCAGAAGCTGATTCATGCTCCTTCCCTCAAATACCATGTATTTGGGAGACATTGTCTTGAGTTTATTTGGGAGGGTATGAAGATGTGAAGTACTTCATATTCCTCCATCAGCAGATAACCAGGGAGGCATAGGAAGAGCTTCTTGTCTGTGTCTGAGATACATTTATTGTTTTCATTGTGGTTTTTTGCCCCTTTTGAGTAAGTACTGTATGTATTTTGGAGGATTCTTTAAACAATCTTCCAAACACAGGCCTTTTCTCTCCATGGAGAAGCAAGACAAAAGGATGGGTTCAGTCATGTGCAGCTGCTAAGGAGAGGGCAGCTGAAGGCAGAGGGGCAGGAGGAGCAGGAGTGTCTGGGTACAAGGGAGTGGGCAGGGAAAGGATTTAGAGGTGGCATTTGTTGTGGCAGAAATGTTTCTGGGGGTCAGGCTTGAATAAAGGATGTTTGAAGGACTGAAAGTCCAAAGATGGGGAATAACTTGGGGAGTTCTAGGGAATATGGGATTAGGTGGTTTGATCTCTGGGCAGAATAAGATGAGACTTGTAGTTCAAAAGAAACTGATGTTATAATGAGACAGGGACCTCCAACTTGGGAGCCTGAGTGTGGTGTTCTCCATACAGGATGTCTGTGAATCCCACTGCTCACAGCCTTTGGCCTCTTTGCTTGTTGATAGATAAATGGACATGACAGGTGAAGTTAGAGGAGGGGTGTATGTATTAACAATTGCCTTATCACTTACAACTGGAAGGGCAAGAAGTAAAGCCCCATCATTTGGTGTGACATGGTTCAGACCAAGTGGGAGAAGCAACTGTCTTCCCCCTCACAGCTCTGAGGTTATGACTCTGCTTCCCTGACTAGCCCAGCCCAATTTTGAGGCTTTTGTGGCTAGCTGTGGACTCATCACTGAAGCAAAGGATGCTCCCACTAAGGCTGAAGACCAGCTGTGATGTTTAGAGGCTCCAAATGTCATTAGATTCTTTCAATGCTTCCCCCTGCAGAGGCTCTTTTTGCTCCCTGACTATGCCCACGTCTCTCTGGTCCTTCTCATACCTTTAGGGGTATCTCTCCTGCCTAATGAAGTGTAAACCATGTACTGCACTGCAGAACATTCTGCTCTGGAAGAATTTAATATGCCAAATGTTTGATGTTTGTTGAGGCACTGCATGTGACAGGTTTCTTGTTTTCATGCTTATTGAAAAGCTAACAAGCTATATTTACCCCAAACTCCAAGCAACTCATACCTTTTTTAAAACTACACAAAAAATAATTAAAAACTTATTCATTTAACTAACTCCCAAGACCACATTCTTAAAGGCTATTTCCAAGGAATAGTCCCAGCTTTTTTTAATCCATTGATTTTATGATTATTCTTCTTTTTGAGTTGGTCTGCTTTCTCACATGCACTGTTTTCCCTGTGCTGTACTTAGAAAAATCCTTCTAAATCTTTTAAAGTCCTTTTGCCAAAATAACCCACTCTGCTTTTTTACAGTCTGTACTTTATGCCTTTACAAGCTTCTTAATCAGAATATAATTTTGCTAATTTTTCTTTTTTTTTTTTCCCCCTCCATTTTCTGTGCCCTGGTGACATGCTAACTGGTAAAATTGAGAACCTCACTTTGGAACAAAGGCTTGATAGAGTTTCACAGGAGAGAGTATAAAGAGGTAGATGAAATACTAATTTTAAAGTAGTTTATTTACAGATTATAAAATTTCAAAATTTATTTAAGTGTTTAATTTTCTGTCATAGTCTGCAAAACTATCATCCAGATATTTTTGTTTCCCAGGGTTGAGTTTACAGCAATGCACAGATGTGGCATGCCAAGAAATTTTCATGCTTTGTCTGTAGAAATCTTTTGCTGGCCAGTGAAAGATGCAGAGATGCAGAGACTGAGACCAGCTGTTGCATTTTACATTCATGTTCTATCAGACTAACTATACTGGTGCTGTGACTGATAAATAATAGATGGAAGGTGATCCATATGTTTCTTGAAAACTTTCTGTTCTACTGATTTATGCAGGAAAGGACAAATGCTGGATTGGCTTGTCTGCCTCTGCTTGTGTAGAGTTGCCTGTGCCTAGCAGTGGCTGGCATGGTCAGGCTTGTTTTGGTCTCTGAGGCCCATAACACCTTTCTTTTCTCCTAGGCCTGTCCCAGGTTCTCTGTCTTCACTACTGCACCTACACAACCGACAAAGACAGCCTATGCCTGCCTCTATGCCTGGCACCCTGCCCAACCCCACCATGCCTGGATCTTCTGCTGTACTCATGCCTGTAAGTTTTTTTGTTTGTTGTTTTGTGATTTTAATAACCCTTTCAATATAAGACATCTGGGTGGGTAAGGGGTGGAGATGGGCGAGGATGGCAAAGGGGAAAAGGAGGATTGGGAAATTGTGTTTCATTCTACAAGACTCAGTTTGGACGACAAGCCAAGAGTGATTGACCATGGGAGGAAGGAATGCACTGCTTGTTCTGGCTCTGCTGATGCAAGGGGGACATTCCACAGGGCTACAGAGATTCAGGTTTTGCTGCTATCTGAGCAGTCATTAATAAGTTATTAATTGGTAACTTGTCAGTAAGGCTCTCCTGGAATATTGACCAGGAAGTTCAACAAAAAATATATCAGACATGTCACTGTGAGAAGTTTTTTTTCTGGCTTGGTTCCTAAGGAATCTGAAACTGATCAAATATCTCACTTCAGTGTAAGTTCAGGGGCTTTGAGTTCCTGCAGGAGACCCCTCTGTGCAGCTCTGGTTGCAGACAAGCAGGTGAGCTCTGGCCAAGAGCCCTAGAAATGTGAGCACGGAGGCAAGACAGACCCTATCAACTTTGGCTGTCCCAGCTGCAGCTTCTGCCCCACAGCCCTCCTGACAGAGCCCTGGCACAGGCAGCTCCTTTGTGCCAATGGGCAATGGGATATTGCCCTCTTCTTCAGGCCCAGCATGCACTCTTGCTGGGATCATGGAGGGTGGGACTCACTGCCTCACTACAAGGCACAAAAAATATCTCCCCTGCTTGGAAGAGCTCAAGAGGATCCAAAAGCTTCTTTCTCATATGAACCTGAGATTCAGGGTACTGGCCCAAAGCAAGGCAGGATGCTCAGCTCCATAAAGCAGCACTATAAAGCTACTTGTTGCCCTTACCAGGGCTTGCCTATTTTCAGGGAAGACACTGCAGGAAATTCTTTTATTCAGACCTTAGTGCCATTAGGTTTTGTTTGAAAATTGTATCCCTCGCATCCTAGTGCGATTAGCTTGCAGAAAGGGCCCAGAATAACCAGGAGGAGTTCTGCTTTGTTTTTTGCTATCTCAGCAATAGATGAAAGCCTCCCTTACAAGACATATGGAAAACTCTCCTCAGCTGAGCAGTCCGAGTGAAGGAAAAAGAGCCAACTTGTTTTTCATATACTCGAGACTGTAGATTTTTATTTATGTTTCTAACAAGCTAAGTTGGGCCGCACTGACAGAGGAAGCCACAACTTTATACAGTGGTTCTTTTAAAACCACTTAACTCCAAGTGTTGTTATACTGAAAAGGAGAAAATCATTACAAAAAAGCGCAAACCTGGGTGGCTGCTACATTTGTTTAGTAAAGGACCTTTTCCTTTATAGCTGGCTGTTAGTTTTCAGGGCTGATTCTGATGAAACACACTCCAGTGTGCATACACACATGCAATTCACAACACAGATTGTTATTTTTCCATTCATGACTTGAAGAAGTAAAGCTGAGACCATTTAAGTAGAAACCAGGCGTTAATTCTTGCTAATGTCTCCAGACGTTTTCAGACCTTTTTTTTTTTTCTTTTTCTTTTAAAAGATGGAGCGACAAATGTCAATGAACTCCAACATCATGGGGATGCAGGGGCCGAACCTCAATAATCCGTGTGCTTCACCTCAAGTACCCCCAATGCATTCAGAAGCCAAAATGGTAAAAAAAAAAAATAATAAAAAACTAGAATTTTCTTTTCTTATATTGTTCTTGCATACTGGTTACCCAGACAGTGGGGGATGTAGCCAGACACTGCTTACTTCATTCTTAGTCATATGTTATACCCTTTTTTAATATGCTGCAGTAAATTGCCTTTGTGTCAGTTTAGTTTATGAACTTCCAAGATGTTACTAGTCCTAGCTGAACTCTCGGTGAGATGAATCTGAAGTGAAGAGTGGGCTATCTGATCCATGCTGTGTTAAATAGGATTTTTAATACAGTTCAGTTGAATTTAAACAAATGGTCAGGCTGGTTCTGTGATAGTGTCTGTGCTCCATAAGATGGCTTAAATAAAATTGTCAGTTAATAATCAGCAAAGTAAAAGGAGTCTGATGTGGAGGGAGTATATATAGTCTTTGTTTTTTCCATATAGGTGCATAGTGTGTCAGGATAATGGCAACATTACAAAAGTAGATCTAACAATGTATATAAAATTAGGGTATTTTATTTTGCTTGAGTATTACAAAGGTGTTGCTGTCAGAAAGAACAGTCAGAATTTAGACAAAAATTATTTACTTATATGGGTCAAATGTCATAGTGGTTTTTGAAGTTGTTGTGTGTCTTACAAGGTCAAGGCTTCTCAGGCATATGTACTGGTGTAGGATTAATGTAGGTAAACTAAATAAGTGGGTATTTGCAAGGTTTCCCCATCTGTATATGCACTCTTATGGAGGGATTCGACACTAGTGCCTTGGAACCAAGTTTATGAATATAGAAGCACTTGGGCTTTTTCAGTTTCAGAATTGCATTTTGTTGGCTAGTGGAATAATGAGAACAGAGGTTTGCAGTTTAACTCTGTAGGGTTTTTATCCTCTCAAGATGTCTCATCATAGTGGAAAACAGGAGTAACTTCATTGAACTTGTTTCAGTGGCATTATGCCAAGGTGAAATTGTCATAAGTGAGGGAATGAAATCAAGCCGACAAAGATTAAGCAACCACATGTTTTTATATATTTCTACTTTGCATGACTGGTGCAGCTTTTAAAGTTGTTGTCATCTATCCTGAGGCAAAGAAAAATATCTTCTTATCTATAGGTATTGTGCATGCAAGAGACTCTTGGTTAAGATCAACAACATATACGAGCTTTTACTATCTCTGCCTTCTTACATTGGGTAGGTCATGCCTTCACCTTGCTTTTGGTCTGGGTTAAGCTGTTAACCCAACCTCTGTTAACACCCCCTCTAAAACCACACTCCGTAAACATGCAGCCAGTTGGCCAGAAGAGGAACGATAGCCAAAAACACTGGCTACTCCAGCCAAGGAAAACCTGTGGTCAAGAGTTCTCTCTCTGCTGTACCACACAGTGACGGGGACATGCCAAATGGCAACAGCATCTGCAGCAGAGCTTGTTAAAAACTTTTTGGAATAGGCAAGTGTTTTTTCAACTCAAGCATAGCTGAGCCAAGCTAAATACTCCTTGGCTGAATAAATCTGAAACTGGCATCTGGTTTGGGGACTAAAGGTTCTGTAATTTACTCTCCCTCCACCACCCTTGCCTTTTTTTTACTGGAAGTGTGAGGCTACTAAAGAACAAGATTAAATTATTGGTGCATATGGTGAGAATTCTGTGCTTTAGTAGCTGAAACTGTACATTAATGCAAATTACTTTTTAATCTGGCTAAGCAGGTTTTGTCCCTAAACCTAATGTGTGAAGGCATGGTTCTTTCAGGGAGGCATTGCTATCAGTTCCACAAGAGAGTATAGTGAACAACCAGCCCTTTTGCCTCTCAGGGGCTTTTTGCCACTCTGCCAAAAGTGGAAAAAATCCACATCCATTAACTCTTAAGAGTAAGAGGCATAATTCAGAGCTCTGGGGCGTTTTTTTCTTTTTAAATGCAGGTTTTTTGAATATTCTATATTCTGGTTTTATACTTTGTTTCTGTTTGAGCACACATGTAATGTAAAAAACCTCTTTGTTTAGTCACTGCTTTGAGCGATATGAATGTATTAACAATACTCTGCATGAACACAAACTGGAAAAAATGTAGGAAGTATTCAGAACAAAATTATTTCTTACATGTAAGTTCATGAATTATAAATCTGAATCATCTCTATTACAAGCCCGTTTGCTCTTACTATTAACTATTTAATTTAGCTTGGTGCTCAAAGCATTAGACTTCGCATACTTTGGCAACTTTAAAAAAAAAAACAACTCCTAGAAGAGGGTGCTTAGTACCTTACTGGATTGTGTCCTGCATTAGGAAAGAATTTCAGATTTCCCCAAATTCTGCTAATACTATTACTACTGGTGAATCCAGCACTGCATATGTTCTCTTTGGCCAGCTGTGCTCTGTGAAGAATGTATGTGTTGAACCCTACACAGAACCATCTAAGCTGCTTGCAGCTAATGACTGCAGTATCTGGAGAAGTTTGGGAACCTTTGGGCCTGATTCATCAACCATCTAAATCATGCATCAACCACAGCAAGTGGATCCACAGCTTCTTTGTGCCTGTATGACAGAAAACAGGACAGACTCTAGATGCTAGAGGCCCAGATGTGAGACCAAATCCTTCTGGCCTCAGGAAAGTATGTATCTGAGCAACGCGAGCATGATTTGGTGTGCAGCAGTCTTCACACTATTTGGTGATGCATGTGATTTAATTTACTTGTGTAAAATAAATATGAATAAATAATAGTAGCATGGATGCTGTGCCAGATTTTTTTAGAGGCAGAAGATAGGTGGCAAAAGATTCACACTCTTGATTGGTCCCTAATCAGTTTGCATTAAGGAAATGGAAGCCAGTCTGATAAATATGGGCATATAACAAGCACCCACACAGACACATATAGAATGTGTGTTGCATTAATGTTTCTATAATATGTAATTTATTTATCCATTAGTATTTTAATAAACATTTATTATCTGACATTTCTAGAAATTCATATTCTGCTACCCAAGATGCTGGTTTAATTTTTACAGGATAATGTTACTTCAGATATAAAAGTGTTGTAGATGACATCCCAGAACTGGTTTGATTTATCACAATAATCTCAGTTTCCCTCACAGTGTGCTTCTCAATTAGGTTATCAACTAATGCTTTAAAACTGTCCTAGTAAATGAATGAGTGAACATCTAAATCAATATTACTTTCTTCTTAGATTCAGAGCTGAGTGGATAAAACCTTTATGCTGCTTACCAAAAATACATGTTGATTTTGTATGAAAATATACTGCATTGGAAAGTGGAGGAAATGTAGCTCTAAGTATACATGGTAAAAATATGCAGAATAGCACACGTAGCATATTAACATGTGGTTCAGTAGGCTGAGATTATTGTGAACTCAGAATTGTCAGCGGTGCCTTTCCCTTAATGTACTGCTAACATACAGTTTGGTTTGCAGTTTCAGAGTATTCAAGGTTTTATAGCTCGGAAGCGTAATATTGTGTGGGTTACCGGAATGGGAGATAAATAGTGTGCACTGAAGTGCTGGAAGTCTGTGTTTCAGCAGGTCTTTTTGGTGTAGCTGATACCTCTCTGTCTAAATTTTGCAAGGCATTGATCTTTACCTGTAGAGATTTATGGCTCTGAGAGGACGTGTAAAAAGCAGGCTGGCAGTGAAAACAATCTGAGTTAAAAATACAGTTTTCTCTTTGATGTGTTACTTTTTTTTTCCCTTTACCCTCTCCCTCTGCCCCTGACTGGATATTTAGTTTTATAAAATTCAAGTAAAATGTAGTATGTGTGGCTTGGCTATGCCTGCTTTCTTGGCAGAATCTGTATTGTTTTTTAAAAAGAAGAAATAATTTATTTCCATATCAGAAATGTGTAGAGTTGTGGATTATTGGTTTTGCCTTATATGCATTACTAGGTGAAACAGTAATAATAAGAAAATTAATTTGAAAGTGTCTATTGGATTTAAGTGTGAAAACACAACCAACAAAGTAATAAACCAGTACTGGGCATGTTTCTAATTATAATGGTAAAATATCCATATTAACTGAACCTCATAATTTACCTAAGAATACTGGACAACTTTGGTGGATGAGGAGGAGAGAAGTGAAAGGAATTGCAGTTAGCCAGTTGTTATCGGCATAGATTTTTATTTGACTTAATCAGAGTTAAGGGTCCAGATCCTACAGGTGGCTGTGAAAATCCTGGTCCAAGTGTTGCTCGGCTCTCCATCCCAATGGAAAGGTGGGACTGGCTGCAGGTACCTGGGTAGATTGCGTTCAGCTGTCAGATGGGCACTGCTCACTTTCTCCTGAGGCAACCAAGCAGAAAAGGCTTGGCTGGCTTTCCTTGGATGCAGGCTGGGGTCTGGGTTTGGACAGAGTCTTCTGCTGCTTCTTATTTTATAAACAACGTGCCTTTCTGTGCCCATGAGCTGTGGTGGTACAGGAGAAACTGCCAGAGTGAGCTCTTACCCCCAGCCCAGGTATGTTACTCAGCTCAGCCTTTGTAGAAGCTGTTGAATGCAGAAACCAGAATGCTGCCCCAACAGCACTGGCATCCTGGGACAGCTTGGGAAGGGCATCCTGCTGGGTACCAGCTCTGGTCTGTGGGGTTTCCATGCTGATTTAAGGCTGAAGGCTGGCACAGGCAATCTGGGCAGGATTAGTGCCACTGAAGCGCCAGCTTTAGCTACTTAACACATAATGACTGGAGATACTTTGTTAAATATAGTAAATGGTTTGAAATCCATGTTTTCCTATCAAGCTGTGGGGGTAAGGAGCCACTTTGGTAGAGAAAAATGCATTGCTTCAGGGCCAGAAGGCTTTTCTTCACTCAGATTCTGGACTAATAAACAGAAAGAAAAATGTCACATCTCTGCAGGGCTTTCAACAGCAATTGCTCATCTTGTCCTTCACAATACAGTAATGAAAGCAGCGTAAGAAAGGAAAAAAGTGCAAAGTGAAGCCTTCCAATGTATATGAAAAAAAGACCTGTGACAAAGTTTCCTGTGTCAGTAACTGAGTAATGTTTTCAAGGAAGGGAAA